GCTTCTTCCAACTCCTTTTTCTCTTCTTCTAATGCCTTAATTTTCTCTTCATATTCTTGCTTTTGTTCAGTAAGTTGATAACCCCTTTTACTTCAGTTTGAAATATATTCAGAGCAAGTGGGAACCTAATTCATTAGAACTATCAATAAATCCTTCTAACATTTTTTCAATAGTGATATTATCAAATCAAATTCTTTTACAGTTTTTAGCTCATTCTCTGGTTTCATTAGGATCTACTGCCATTCTCAACTTACCTTCATCCATTCATTTCTTATTTAACTTCTTGTATCATCATGTTCCCCTAGGAGCATATATACTAACTTCACCATTTTCATCAATAGACTGACTATAACGTGTCAGATTTTTAATTTAAGTTCTTCTATTGGTTGTTCTCTTTCTTGATCTTTATCAGCTAACTGCTTTTCTAAATCTGCAATTTTGTTTAATAGTTCTTTATTTGCTTGTTGTTGTTCATTTATTATGTTTTTCATGATTTACTTGCTTGTTCTTTTTTTTATTTATTTATTTAATATACTTATATCTTTTTTATAAAAGGGTACATTAAGTATATAAATTATTTTAGTACTTTTTTGCTTTAAAAATGGGAAAAGCTAATGATATTTGTCAAAAGATTAAACTTATTAAACTTAATGACAGTGAGGGATAAATTAACAAGTGATGAAGTCATTAGAGGTGATTTTATCCTAAATATTTTATTCATTTCCAGTATATATTGGTCTTGGGCAAGTAATATCTTTAAATTCATCTCTGACAAATGGGCGAATATTATGATAAAGATATTCTTGCCTTTTGTAGTCCAAAGGAGATGGTGTTAAAATTAAAATCATTATTATTATTATAAAAACATCTTTTAAAAAAATTTTATAATATCATTTCATTTAAAAAAATGAATGCCATTTAAATTGACTACCACCCATGTGATTGATTCAATCATTAACACAAAAGGAACAAAATTTCAATAATATACATTATATAAAATAAAAGCAAATAAAAAAAAGTTACCTCTGGTTAGTTATTAACATGTCTTCAGAACCATGCCAAACAACATCACTCGCATTTTGTCATCTGTCAAAAAATAAATAAATAATTGTGGTGTTTGATGGCTGTTGGTTACATCAATATAACAAATTATTATGTGCGGATTTTTTAGTATCTTTATATATATTTCAACACATTGTAAATGTTGACAACAAAATTCAACTATCAATATATTTTTTTGAAAACATGAATTATAAAAAGAAATTCCTATTAATTTATCAGTTACAATGTAAATTTTTATGGTAAAATTTAATAATAAATCAAATAATTTTAAACCATGATAACTTTTTTTTTCATAATAAAATTAAAACAAAAATTTTTTATAGTTTTATTGTTTAAATCTTCTATAATAAATATATAGAGAGTTTTTTTCCCTATCTCATTTGATTATAAAGTTTTTCTATTAGCAATCTTTTTAGAACATACAGTCGGCGCTCGATATAGTGAAGTTTTGGCTAGTACAAATTTGGAAACTATCTGCGTTAATATCCAATCAAAT